GAAACTGAGGCAGGGGAGGAGGGTGCAGGTGCCCGCAGTGCTGCCGGGGCCGGGCCCTGGCTCCCAGCCCTGGCTGCGATGGAAATCCAGCGCAGAGCTCTCGGAAACCTCCAGAAATCCCTGCCCGGTGGTGGGGGCTCGGCAGCCTGTGCTGCTGCGGGTGCTCCCTGGGGGCTGCAGCCCCTGGCCCCTCGCTGAGGGCACAGGCGGGTTTGGGGGGGCTCCCAGTTGTGGGGTCACCGCTCCCCCTCCACCTCCCCAGGGCGGGATGTGAGGGGCTCGAGGTCTGATGGATGCAGTGATGGAGCAGAGCTGGGGTGCAGGGGGAGCTGCAACCACCCCCCCCTCCCGCCCGAAATGCGTCTCTCCCAGCCCGGGGGTGCCCCTCTCCCCCTCCTCCCGTTATCTTGCCATCCCGGTCCTGCCCTCCCTCTCTGGCAGGCGAAGGAGCCGGGCTTTGAAGCTGCGTTGAAATATAGATAAGGGCGAAGGCAGCGGCGGCGCTCGGGGGGAGCCGGGGGGGGGGCGGGGGGCTGGCCGGGCCGGGGGGGTGGTGAGGGGATGGATGCTGAGCCACAGCTCTGCACCGCACACCCCGTCCCCCCCCCGCACCCCCACGATGGGCTGAGACCCCCCAGATCCCCTTCCCACGGCCCCGTGGAGCTGCCTGTGCCTGCCCAGCGTTCCTCTCGTGCCAGAGCAGGTTTAGGGGCTCAGCCCGGCACACAGCGGGGGGACGAGGTGATGGACCACAGGGGTGGATTGGATGGAGCCCCCCCGGCTCCACAGCAAGTGTGGGGGTCCACGGCTGGGCCCCCCCCCATGGTGCTCAAGCAGAGACACACCCCCCCAGACCCACCTGGCCGTGGAGAAGGGGGCCGGGGGGGCTTCCCCCTCTCTGAGGACGGTCACAGGACCCCCATCATTCCCGATGGAGGTCGTTCCCAAGCAGGAAACACTGTGCAGGGTGGGCGATGCCGGGATGAGCTGGAGCCATTCCCCGGGCCCGCCCCAACAGCCCCCCAGGCTCCTCCCCAGCCCCTCCAGCTGCTGCCTCTGCCCCCCGCCCCGCTCCCCCCTCCTCCCTTCCCCCGGGATCCAGGTCATCCAGAGCAGAAAGTGCCGGAGCAGCGGAGCACCTGCCAGCTCAGGGCGACAGTGATTGACGAGCCCGGGGCTGCTGGAGCAGCGCCCTGGATGCCGGAGCAGCTGGCAGGGCAGGAGGGCACGGCGGGCACCCCGGGAGAGGCGGGGTGAGGGATGGGGGCACGGGGGAGCAGGTGGGTAGGGGGGGATGAGGGACAGGAGGTGTGTCAGAGTTGGGGTCCCAGGCTGGGGATGGCAGCTGGCTCCGCTCGCCGGTGCCCAAAGCAGCGACCCGGGGAGCCTCGGGAAGGGGACGCTGCGGTCCCGGCCCAGCTGGTGCAGGAGGAGGGTGAGGAGGGGCAGGAGGATGAGGAGGGGCATGGGCAGGAGGG